CCAGACCTGGGGTGGATCCAAAACCTGAAGATAAGACAGGCCAAGTACCCCACATGATGTAAAACCCCTAAACATGTTTCATTCAACAACTCAACTGTCTCAGATGTTTCTTTCCTTCCCAAATAAACTTTGCTTGCCGTTCATGGTCCATGAGTCCATTCTTCAGTTCTCAAGAGCGATAGCTCCTGCACACATCAAAGCAGTTGCAATAATCTGGCCTCCACGACTTGCACTTCAGTGAAAGCTCTCCCAGTTAGCGGGTACAGGGAGTCCCCAGCCTCAGGCAGTGGTTCACACACCTTGCAGAGGTTAAACCTTTTGCCCAAGCACAAGCATCACATCCACTCACCATTTTCTTGGGGATATTAGCAGACAAATTGCAGCACATGCAAAATTACCTTGAAATTTACTTCCAAACAAAAAATGCCAATGAAATTAAAAAAGAAAAAAAAAAGATCTCAGTACATGGAATGCAGGACATATAAACCCCTCAGGCTCAGTATTGGGAGTCGTGATATCATGAGGTAGGGGTAAGGTGGATAGGGGGTGTGGGGTGAAGGGAGGGGGGAGGCGGGGAGTGGTAGAGAGATCCCAGTGATGGACATAACCCCACACCACCCCCCAAGGTGATGTACAACAGAAACATGGGTGAAGGGTGCAACTTGATGCTATAAGACTTAAAAATAATTTATAATTTATCAAGGAGGTTCATGAGGGTGGGGGAAGGAAAAATGAGGAACCGATACCAAGGGCTCAAGTAGAAAGAAAATGTTTTGGATAGGATGGCAACACATGTCCAAATTGATACAATGCATATATGGATTGTTATAAGAGTTGTAAGATACATTATCAAGAGTTCATGAGGGAGGAGGGAGTGGGGAAGGGGGAAAATGGGGAGCTGATATTAAGGGCTCAAGTAGAAAGGAAATATTTTGAAAACGATGGCAACAAATGTACAAATGTGCTTGACACAATGGATGGGTGTATCGATTGTAATGAGGTGTACGAGCACCCAATAAAATGATTTTTTAAAAAGATATACAAAAGTACCACACGTAAAAAAGTTATAAGAGCCCCCAGTAAAATGATTAAAAAATAATGTGCTATCTCGTTTTTGCACATATTATCTCTGCAGGTCTATCTAGATAAGGTAGGCAGGTTAAACAAGCTGGAGAAAACATCGGGAACAATGGTTGGGGGGTAGGGAGGGAGAGACATGGCAGAGAGGGAGGTAGGGGGAAAAGGAAGTGGTGTTAACAAACCCAGGGACAAGTGATCCAAAATCAGTGGCGAGGAGGATATAAGAGGCCTGGTAGGGCTTGATCAAGGGCAATGTAACAGAAATTACTGAAACCCAAATGAAGGCTGAGCATGATAGTGGGACAAGAGGAAAGTAAAAGGAAAATAAGAGGAACTAGGAGGAAAAGGCCATTTATAGAGATCTAAATATAAGCATGTACATATGTAAACATATTTATATATAACGATCAGGAAATAGATCATTTATTTATAGGTTTAGTATTAAGTATTAGTATTTAGTATTAAGGTAGCAGATGGACATTGGGCCTCCACTCAAGTACTCCCTTGTTCTATTAAACTGGCATTCCATGATGCTCACCTTCTGGACATGATCGTGAAGAAAGCTGATGGTGCCCGGCTATTAAAAGATAAAGCGTCTAGGGTCTTACAGGGCTGAAGGTAAACAAGCGGCCATCTAGCTCAGAAGCAACAAAGCCCACATGGAAGAAGCACACTAGCCTGTGAGATCACAAAGTATCAAAGGGATCAGGTATCAAAGAACAAAAAATAGTATCATTGAGAACGAAGGGGAGTGTACATCCAAAGCCCATCTGTAGAAAAAACTGGACATCCCCTTTACAGAACGGTTGCGGGGAGATGAGCCAGTCAGGGTGCAGTGTAGCAATGATACAACTTTCCTCTAATTCTCAACTATCATGATCCCACTTCTACCTTACAAATCTGGCCAGACCAGAGGATGTACACTAGTAGATAGGAACTGGAAACACTGGGAATCCAGGACATATGAACCCTTCAGGTGAGAGTGGCAATACTGGGAGGGTAGAGGGAAGGTGAAGGAGAAAGAGGAAACCGATTACAAGGATCTACATATAACTCCCTCCCTCCCTGGAGGATGGACAAAAGAGAAGTGGGTGAAGGGAGATATTGGACAGTAAGACATGAAAAGATAGTAATTTATAAATTATCAAAGGTTCATGAAGGAGGGGGCAGTGGGAAGGGAGGGGGAAAAATGAGCTGATACCAAAGGGCTCAAGTAGGAAAGCAAATGTTTTGAGGATGGCAACAAATGTACAAAAGTGCTTGACACAATAGATGGACCTACGTATTGTTGAATTGTAAAAGCCCGCAATAAAATGATTTAAAATAATGTGCGTAACTCCAGAGTGGAAGTTTTTTGAAATTAAATTAGAACCAAGTGGTCACCAAACCAGCTCACTTCTCACCCTCCAATGGGAGCAAACAGGACTATTTATTCATTTATGTCTCGAAACAAGAATCTTACAGCTGCGGTGAACAATGGGTAAGTGACATGACATAACATGGGCTAGGATTGCTTATCTTCAGTGGTACCAAGATGCAGTATCTTGATGGTTTACCTCACAGGAACCACTGAAGTTATACTCAAAGCCAGAGGTCATCACACAATCTTATTGTCCTACTAGTAGACATTCATCTTTCTCTTACAAAACAGAATTTAGCAGCCCAGAGCTTAACCCAGACTGTACTCAAAGCTCCTTTTGAAATCCACACCCAATCCTTTTGGAGCTATTCTAATTGGAATTACCTACATTTTGATAAAAAGGAAACACGGGGGTCAGTTACTTAGAACATGTGGGATCTGATTTAAGACGTCATCAGTTGTCCTGTAAAAGTGCTGTCACAACCTTATAGATGGCAGTATTTTTAGTCACACTTGAGACCCTGGATGGTGCAAATAGCTACTAGACTGGACTAACTGGAGGCACACAGGAAGGGCTGGCAACTTCCTGAAAAATCAGCCTTTGATCAAACTTCTAGAGTGCACACACTAAGATATCTGCATTTGGGTGGTATTCTAGGATTGATGACAAACTAAAAGCACACCAGCCCTGCATTGTGGTTCTCATTAGCCTTGGACTCAAGGGTGGCCCCACATTTCCATCTGGGTTGGATGGTCCTACAATGAGGAAGGGAACGGAGCCTACTAGTGCTTGGCCCCACTTTTAATTCTTTGGGGTTGCTGCCCTCTTGCAAAAAGACATCAATAACCCATCAGTTTTCCAGAACAAAAAAAAAAGCAACCCTCAAAGTAGGGTTTATTCACAAGTTAGTGGTCAGACTACCAACTGTAACCCTTTAGTCACCCTTCCATTATGGAACAGAATTCACCGTTAGAATAGTCAAAGTGCAGGTTAGGAAAGGAAGGCTAGGGAACACATGGGATAAACAGTAGTGCACTGAAGGGATTCCAGTGAAATTGAAAGTGTATAAAATGCTGATAGGAACTATAATCCTTCACCTGAATCTATACCTAGAGGGAAAAGGATATCGTCCTTTACCCCTACCCAAGGGGTCTTGGAGCCCTACCTGGCCAGCTCAGACTTCCCTGTAAGTTTTTCAGCTGACAGAATTCTCCAAACACAAGGATCTCATCCCAAAGCCAGCAATGATGTTAGTAGGACTACAACAGTGGCCTTAAACTGGAGGGACATCAAGGCAGCTCAAAGGGGGCCACTGCAGATGCTGGAGACTGAAGGACCTGAACTTTAGCCTACCACTGCACCAGACCTTCTTTAAGACGGAGTTTACCTTCTTGGTAGCTAAATTGACACTATAGTCGCAGAAACCCACGGGGATAAGTCACCAGCTAGCAGAATGGATTTCTAATCACTTTATAGATACCCCCAGGACTTGTGTATCCATCATAAAATGTCTCTAAATGGAACCTGAGACATATATAAACCATAGATATATTAACTTTGGGCTCACTTAATTCTAGTTTTTATGATTTAGCCCTGATCAATGCTTTCCCCCTCCTAAAGTTTGATTCAGAAAGCTGATGGTGTCCAGCTAATCAGAAATAGCACCTGGGGTCTTAAAGGCCTGTCTTCAAACAAGTCACAGTCTAAGGAGCCGCACATGGATTAAGGTTCCAGTGAATCCCAACTACAGCCTTGCTGTCAGAAAGCATTCATTGTACACTCAACTATGGCAGATGTAGTTTAAAGTGTAAAACGCTGTATCACTATCTTCTGACCCGTTTTTTTTTTTTTGGATTGAGGTTTTCCTGGTCATTGGTTATGATTATCTGTGTATAAACCAAGATAGGTTTATCCTTAGAGATGCTAATTGAATTAATTTCTTAGGAGCATGGTTGGGAAGGGAAATGGGGAGCTGACATAGATGGTATTCTGAGATTGTGTTGATAACTGCACAAATTTTAAATGTGCATGAGAGATATATGCCAATACTAGTTAAACAAAAAACTGTGGAGCTGCCCAGGATTTTTAACATCACTTTCCGCTGCTAGGTGGATTTATTTCATGTAAAAATAATTTTAAGTATGAAAAAGAATGTTCAAAATACCTTTTATAAATACTTAACACCAAAAGTATGGTTGCTGACTTCACAACACATGTAGCTCCTAAAAATATAGCTAAGAACAATGCATCGGATAGCATAAAAACGAAAAAAGAAAAAAAAACTATTACCAAAAGTCATTAACATACAGGAAATAGTCACAAAACAGATGGTGGCTATGTACATAGACTCCTTTCCACTAATGTTTTTCTATTAGTATATCCAGTCGTGTTTAATGTTTTTATTTATTTTTATTTTAGCCTCATTTTGAAAATATAAGGAAAACATAGATTAGATGTACTGTTATTTAATTCACACTAATACATTTGCATTAAGATGAATTATATCTTCAAACACCCAGTCATTTTGCTAGCTTTTGGTGAGCAGATAGTCTGTACCAGTCATTGTGAAAAAGTCTTTATTTTAAGAAAAAAATTTGGTTAACAAGTTTCACTTAGCAAAATACACCCAAAAGGAAATCACAGTACAAAGCAAGGTTTAAGTCAAGGCCTCACCAATGCCTACAGTATTAGTATTGTGTCTCAATTTTCAAAATTAACTTTTTAAAAGCTTAAAACTTAACCTAAAAGATTTTAAATGAGAACAAACTAGAATGAACAAACATGAGAAATGTTTCTCTTTGGATTAGGGATCTAGCACCTTTTGAGTTTTCAAAAAAAGCATGTCTCCCCAGTGTGTTTACTGCAATGTGGTGTAAAAGAGCCACATATTTAACTACTTTAACTCTGGAGTCACTCTTTAGTATACTACAAAAATGTTGAGAAAAGCCAAAAATGTTTATCATTTACTCATTATCTTTATCACATGCTTCTAGAAGAAAGTTTGCATGAGAAAACACTGAAGAGGTAATTTTTTTAATCCAGATTTCACAAAACTCATGGTGCAAAATGGGTCCCACAGCTTCTATGTAATAACTGCTCTCCACTGCTTGTTGGCTGCCTGTGATAATTTGATTGAAATAACTCAAAATATTTCTATAAAACTAATCGTATCCACCCATGCTGTTTTGCTGACCACTATAGCCAGCTCCATAACAGCCACTCACAGACTGACTCTCAAGGCCAGTGTAAGTAGACTGGGTTGACACCCCCATGCCCTGCATTATTTGGCTATTATATGCCCCATTGCTGGTCCCTGTGGTTGAATTCAAGAACAGCTCAATGTATCTATGCTGCATGTTGGCTCTGTCTTTCGACATTGCGGCCACGGCTTCTTCGTGAGTGCCAAACTCGACATCTGCTTCACCGGTCACTCTTCCATCAGGGCCAATCTCAATATGTACTCTCACAGGGTTAAGTGGAGAGAAGAAATTATAAATGTCATTCTCCGTTGCTTTGTATGGTAGCCCCCTCATGTGGACACAGTGTCCGGTTGTGCTCTGAACAGCAAACTCACTGTCTCCGTATCTGTGGTCATACATTCCTGACAGACAATAGCTGAGATCTCTTCCAAATAGATCTGTGGTGAAACCATAGCTATCGCTGAGGCCACTATACTCCTCATAGCCCCCATAGCCTGTGCTATAGGCCCCAGACCTCATCCTGTCAAAGCCTGCTTGTTTCACAATGCCAATATATCTCCGAGCAGTGCCAGGCCGATCATAGGGCCCTGGCCGCTGCACAGACATGAACTTTAGAGGGGGATCAGAATATGATCTCACTTCTTCCTGACTGCTCTTGAACACTTCAATATACCTGTGCCCTATTCTTTCCTTATGCTTCCCTAGCGCCTTCTCAGCTAATTCCTGTGAAGCAAACTGCACAAAGGCTTCTCCTGTAATCTTGCCCTCGGGGTCTACTGGCAAAGTGATACCATTGGGCATAATTTCCAACCCTGAGAAGAACTGAACAATTTCTTCCTTTGTGCATCCAAATGGAAGTCCTCGGAGGCGCACAAAGCCATCGTTGGCAGTATCGGCACTGTTTGGACCACTGTGCTTCAACACCCAATCCATTTCGGTTCGGTGGGACTTGAATACCTCAATATAGCGGTGCCCCATGCTTTCTCTGTCTTTCTTCAAGGCCATTTTTACATCATCTTCTGATTCAAGTTCAACAAAAGCCTCACCACTCTGTCTGCCTTCTCTGGTGTAGATGAAATGAACACCTGATGCGCCATCATGAATTTTGCATTCAGAGAGGAAATTCTGCACATCCTCAATCGAGCAAGACCACGGCAAGCCACGGAGCTTGACCACAAAACCTTCACCTCCCTCAGGACCCAGCATCATGGAGATTCAACAGGTCAGGTGTCAAACCAGCTTAGTGTGGTTTTTCGTAGCTGAAAAGAAAGCAAAAACTACCTTATGTAATTTTATATTTAGTACTTATTACAAAATTATGTAATCAGCATAGTTTTCCAATTTTACAGATGAGAACAATGGTTAAAAAAAACATAAGTATATATTTTATATACACATACAAAGAGTAAGAATTGACTCAATGGCAACTTTTTGTTGTTTTGTCTGGGGGTTGGGGGGGGGGGCAATAAAGCAAAAGGCAGGAAAATGTAGCAACCTGGAGCCCTAACATTAGTCAAATTAGCACAAGGGCATTTTCTTATTGAAATTTACCTTTACTCAAGATACAGGCCATAAGGAAATTACAAGTGATTTACAAAAGTTCTATGTACAGACTGGGGTGGGGGGGGCGCCAAAAAAAAGTTCTATGTACAATCTCCCTTACCCCCATTACATTTTACCAATTTGTTTGTTTATGCTACCTAGGGACAAATAAATACTGAACGCACGATTGTTTTAAACCATGAAGTGAAATAATATTTTGACACTAGGAGGGAATCGACAATACCTTTAGGAAGCAAAATAACAATAGCCAACAGTTGTGGACACTTCGGTCCTCTAGATGTCAGTAGCACCCTACCTTGTGAAATAAAAATCACTTCTATAGTTACCGTCAGATGTCAACGAGACAAAATTGTTCCAGACTAGGAAATAACATGACTCTTAAAAAGTGGGCTCACCTATCTTGAAAAGCCCCTCAATACTGCCCATAGTTCTACAACTCCTCAATCTTCTTGAAGCCTTTTCTAGAAGTCTGACAATACCTCACATACTTCTCATCCCCTCAATTTCAAGTAATCTTGCCTTCCATTGAAGAGAAAAAGGAAATTGTCAGAAACAACTCAGACCTCATAATGACCCCCTTTAGTAGAGTAGAACTGTCTTTGAGTTCCTTACAGGTTAAATCTTTAAAGGAGCGATCTCATAGACCTTGGAGCAGTTAGTGGGTGGGTCAGTCATTGGCTTTGTTGTTAGAACTCAACTTGTAACCCACTATGCCACCAAAACTCCTACAGAGATTCTAAACTCAATAACTATTTTGTAACATCAAACTCTTTTCTCTATCATTTTCTTAACAGCCTGCCCAAGTTGCTCTTAATTTATTCCAATTACGGCTAGCACTCAACTCACCTAGCTTCAGAAATCTTTGCATCCTCAGGTAACACATGGTGACTGTCTATCCAAACAAAATACCACCCAACCATATTATCTGTCTACACTTAAGATCTCAACTCAAATATGCCATCATTTCCAAAAGACTGTCAATTAAATTAAGTCTTCTGACTCTACCCTCAGAACATTGCTGTGATCCATCTGTGCTTGGCTGGCCACTCACTGTGGCGTGGACCTTGCAGCTCAGTCTTAGCTTAAACTACATGGAGCTAAAACCATTTCAGAAAAAAACTGAGGTATCCTAGGTTAGGCTGAGACAAAGAAAAACATTCCATTTACTATTACTAATGCCTTAAAATACCGGCTAACTATACCCTACAAATTACGAACGTGTTGTTTCAGTTCAACATTTACTGCTTATTTTGTTCTCTATGATTCAGTCACTTCCTTTCTCTGGGGAAAGCTTAAAATTGTAGCCTACTAACAAGGAAATTCACACTTGATTTGTGATGTTAACATCACATTCATTTTTGCCCTTGGATCCTCTATATTTGGATTGTGTGTGTTGGGGGAGGGGGGGAATTATAGTACTTTGCCTTTCAGCTAAAGTGGTGTTTTAAAAACACAAAAACCAGTTGCCATTTTGTCTACTCAGACGCATGGTAAACTCCACTTGTTAGGACCAAAAAATTTTTCACTTTAGGTTAAGAAAATTTTACTTGTCTCCAAGCCAAATATAAATGAAAATTACTTTCAAAGAAACAAGCAAAACTCACCTTTTAAAGATAATGGTAGATGCTCAGTCTCAAGATGTTCTGGAAGTTATGAATTAGCCTTTAAAAAAAAAAACACAAAACCATTGGTATCAGGACACTCTGTAGAGGTGCAGCTATTCCAGGCAAAGGCAAGCAAGGCCAGAGATCCTCCTCTGTGGCTGTTATGGTGATCCAGATGTCACATATGGCCACCATTATGACATTTACAAGGTTTATATTTTCATAGGATATTACAGAGGATAACAGAAGGGGCAGAATCTGCCTTGATGGTACTCAATTCCCAAATATTTATAAAGTGAGGTGGTGAGAACTTCATCAAGCATGCCATATAGAAGGGAGACATTATGTTCCAGGCTCTAAAAGCAATTCTACGCTTTGGACTGACCAGCTAACTCTGAAGGAGGAAAATTAGTCTATTTGTCCCCGCCAAATATTTATAACCAGAAATCCTACACAGCAGCGGTTCTCAACCTGTGGATTGTGACCCCTATGGGGGTCAAACAACCCTTCCACAGGGGTCGCCTGATACATAACAGTAGCAAAATTACAGTTATGAAATAGCAAGAAAATAATTTTATGGTTGGGAGGAGTCACCATACAGGGTCAAAGACAGATTCCATAGAAAAGGAGATCTTGATAATGCAGTGGTTAAGCACTGAGATGCTAATTGAAAGATCAGCTGTTTAAATCCACCAGTCTTCCTGAGAGAAATCATGACTGTCTTGCATCCAGAGATTGTCTTCTTTCTTACAAACCATATGAGCTGTTCTTCTCTGTACAATACAGTCACTATGCCAACTGTTTTTGCTAGAAATTGTTCTACCCGATTAACATTCCTCTGGGAGCAGTATATGAAGATCCTCAAAGTTATGTTCCCCACTTTTTTTGGTCATTTTATTTCTGTAGCCTGTAATTATCTGACATTTACAAAGTTTTGATTCAAGTTAAAGGTGTGTGTGTGTGTGTGTGTGTGTGTGTGTGTAAGAACCAGAGAAATATTGTTTCATTGGTACTATACTGCGCGCTAATTGACATCCTGTTTCCATCTCCATGTGAGTCTTAAAGGAAGTTGAAGCTTGTTGCCTGCTGACTTTAGGGACAAGTAAGGGTTGGAAGGAGGACAGTTTGCCCTCAGGAAAATCCACAATTATGGATTCTTTATGTAGGATTTATGAGGCTGTAAACTTTATAGGATGTCTCATCTTTCTCCATAAGAGTAGGCTGGTGGGGCTGAGCCACATGCTTTTACCCAACAGGGCCACCAAGAGGACTCCGTAAAGAATGGTGTTGACTTTGTTCTAGCAACCTAGCATGTGATGCTCATCCTCCCAGCACCACTGCTGTAAAAATGGGAGCATAAGCAAATGAGGTAAAGAAAGCAGATGGTGCCCAGCTATCAAAAGATAAAGCATCTGGAGTCTTAAAGATAAACAAGCCACCATTTAGCAGAGAAGCAACAAGCCCACATGGAAGAAGTACATCAGCAACCTGTGCGAATGTAAAGCTGCTGACAAGAAAAGCTAACAGATACCAGAAGAACCAAAAAATACCAAAAACAAACAAACAAAAAACCATTGAGGAGAGCGTGAGAGGGTCAGAGCAGAGACCCAAAACCCATCTGTAAACAGGATAGCACCTCACAGAAGGGTCACAAGGGAGAAGTCAATCGGCGTGTAGTACCAATGAAACAGTATTCCTCTGGTTCTTACACACACACACACACACCTGCCTTTCAATTCTGGCCAGACTGGAACATGTACACTGGTACAGATAAGAGCTCATGACACATGGAATCAAGGTCAGACAACCCCCTAAGTAACAGAAATGAGCAGTGATACTAGGAGGGTAGGGGGAAGAGAGAAGCAATCGTAATGACTGACATATAACCCCCGCCGCCCCCAGGACAATGAACAGAAACCAGGTGAAGAGAAGACAGCGGTTGGTGTAAGATATGAAAACAATAATTTGTAATTTATCAAGGAGTCATGGGGGGAGGGGGGAAAAAGCTGATACCAAGGGCTCAAAAATAATTTAGAAAATTAGAAAATGATGGCAACATATGTACAAATATTCTTGATACGAATGATATATGGATTATTATAAGAGCTGTAAAAGTCCCCAATAAAATCTTTTAATTAAAAAACAATTTTTATAGATTAACTAGCAAACACAGTAACCTGCCAGAACACTTACTGAAGATGGCCCACTGGACATGTTATCTATGTTAAAGTTGGTGATTATAACTCAGGTCATGCCAACTGGCCTCATAGCTACATAATCAAAATCCGAAACTTTTGTGTATGCACCCCTATCATGGTCCTTTCCCCACTGCTGCAGTCCCACTCACAGTGCTGGATTAGTCTACCACTAATCATGATCTTGTGAGCTTACCTTTTTCCTATCGTATACAATAAAGAGCCCTGGTGGTACAGTGGTTACACAGGGTCAGCAGTTTAAAACCATCAGTTGCTATGTGGAAGAAAGCTAAAGCTTTTGCTTTACAGCTCTTCTAAGCTCAGAGATGACAAAAAGGCATGCAATTTTGGGGTAGGTGGTATGGCAGGAAAGGATTAGTTACTAGTAAACCCATCAAGAAATGCTTACCTCTAAACTTTGGAACTGGTACAACCTTCCTTCTTTCTCCAAGAAAAAAAA